ACCTCTTTCCCCTCTAGTGTGCACAAGGTTTCCTCTGGTCAGAACCAGATAAAATTCAGCTTCCTTTGGCACCAGACCTACCTACATCGAGCCCTGAACTACAGCTCAAGAAAGCACACCAGCACAGCAGCTGTTGATGCCACTTTGATGCCTTTAGGGAAGAAAGCTGCAGGTATGAAGGTGTAGAAGAGTGCTGCTTACCTGTCTTTCTGACATGACGTACAGGTACTTGTGATCGATGGAGAAGGCCATGTCTCGAAGGATAGGGCTCCCGTCCTTGAAAACTGTGACCATTTCGTACTGAATTCCTCCATGAGGGGGACCATCTGCCCGGATCTGGAAAAAAGGACAGGAAAATCATGGGTCACATCCTCTTATCCAAACGTGCCAAAAAGAAAGGCAAGTTCTTAAGCAAATGCGCTGCTTGCAAGCTGGCGACACACGGACAGGAAGGCAGGGATTGAAGCAGCCGCTCCTTGTACACCATGGTACAAAGGCTATAGCAAACACGAGCTTTCCAGCCAGGCAGGGAAGAAGGAGTAGGCAGCTTGCGCGCCGGGACCAGCGCTTTGCAAGCTGATCACAATCGTCGCAGTATTCTTTTGTGCTCTTTTCTCTGTTGGATTTGTTATGCGTATACCCAATGCCCATCAGTACCCATACCAATAAAGAAAACCTTTCAGATCCTGATAGATTGTCTTCGCAGTTTCAACAGAGTCAAAAGAGCTACATCAATTTATACCAACAGAGGCTCTCGCACCACTGAGGCCTTTGGAGGAAAAGCAAAACTCGGAAAGTCTCAGATCTCTCAGCTACTGAATGCGAGAGGAGAGATAACGCGCTAGGGCAGCCTATGAAACCCAGACCCGCCTTCATTACGTGACTCGAGCTTGGCGGGAGAGGAGAACCCAGGCCTCCACGTTCACACGGTGACTTTGGGAACACAAGGCAAGCAATAAAGCCCTTTCAAATGACTGATCCTCTTCATCTCCCCATTCTCCCACAGCCCCAAATACAATCTGCTAAAGCTGGTACGACCATTAAATACCGAGCCTGGATCTGATCTAACTTCGAGTGGCAACTCTTTTAGTCGGGGTCCTGCATTGCTGATGGCTCGTCTTTGCGGTATCAGAGATGTAAGCAGCACATGGCTAGCGTGCGTCACATCGAGTTGGTTCCTTGCGTCTCCTTGTTGTCTGGAGCAAAAGTTGAGTGTGGGTTAAAAATAAAACCACACTGGGTGAGAATTTCAAAGCCGTAAGCACAAGGCCCGCTGAACCAGGACTGAGGGGCTTTGAAAGGCCACCCGGGGTTACAGTCCCTGCAAACACCTCCCTGGAGAGAACCAGCCCTGTAGTTTCATGCTCGGAAAACGAACAACTCACGACAGTTACCATCTCTCCTCACTAATACTCCCCATAAATGTAAAAGCGCTAGGGACCGAATCTGCACGTCGCCCAGCCTGCTGTCATCTCATCCCTTCCAAATCCGCAAGGTCCGGCAAGGGAAATGGAGCCACTGCGCAAGCTGATGAGCTGACAGATAAACGACTCGGTGGCCATATGGTCCGATCACTCTGAAGGCCTCCTCGTCTATCGGTATGGTGGCTGTGGGATTACGCCGATCCCTCCCCCAGCAGGAAAACCCTACTCAAGCTGTGAGGAAGCCCACTGCCGGGGGGTGGGGACCACTGGTGGCGAGACTACGACTCTTCCCAAAGTTAATATTTTATGGCCTTGGGGGCTATGCAGCGGGGGCCAGGAGGAGGGATAAACAAACCATTGACACTGCGTCTTCCCAACCAGGATTTGCATATTTGAATAGCTGTTTGATTGCAACACGGTGTCTACATCATGCCGAGCTGAAAGCACTGGCAACCATCAGGCTGGGGGATTAGACCAGTCATGCGAGCCAATGGCTCCATGGCATCAGCTAATGGCCCGGTGGCTCTTGGTGACAGAGATACTGTTACACGCTGGCCAGGAAACCGCGCTGCGTGCCGGGCATTTTCCAGCACGTGCGTGCGGCCCTGCTAGGAGAGGGGAGTGCAGGGGGACCGCGGAGACTTGGAAAAACCTCTTATCGCAAAGAAGCCATCTGCTGCAGGCTCACGCCGGGCTGTCGTGCTGGATCCTGCTTTGCTGTTCAATTACTTCATGCCCGACGGCTGCACTGAGGCTCGGGCATGCAGGATGAGCCGCGGCGGATGTGGCTGTGTCCTCGGTAAAGGTGGAAGGGGTGTGGGGCAATTCTCACTGCCAGCAGGATAGCGGGGGTGGAGGGGTTCGAAGTTGGCCTGGGGAAACAGGAGTGCGGGGGGTCTAATTCCCGTCTCTGTTGCTGCAACGTGGCAGTGGGAAGTGTGCTCACCACTGCTGGGGTCCCTTTGCATGTGAACTTCAAGCTCCCTCCCTGGGTGGGGACAACAGCACTGATGTGGCTTTGCACAGCACTTTAAGGCGTCAGTGGGAAATACCACTGGGTGTCCATGCTCATAGAGAGAAACCTCCGCAATGCACCCCGCCGGCCTCAAGGAGCCAGAGTGCTCCCCATCAAACCAGCACAGAGCTGGGGTTGCACCCACGGCCAGGCTGGGCTGCTCTCCTGCCTCCTCACCTCTTAATCGTTGCAGGCTAAGGGGCAGCAAGCCAGGTTTGGGGTTCAGACCTGCAAACGGCTCACGGCGGAAGCGTGCGCCCGAGCTGCGTTGCCTCCGCTTCCAGAAGGGAAGCGCCGAATACACCCAGGGGGCCGAGGCATCCAGAGACGCTCGTCCGACTCCATCCAGTTCAGCAGCAGGTGATCCACGACCTCCGTGGCCTCTGCTCGTGTGGACTGGCTGGCTATGCCGTCTCCAAGCCACACGCGCCTCTCTCCTTCGCTCACCCATCATTAAGCCAGCTGTTTAAAGCTGTTGCCGTGGCAACAGTCTCCCAAGTCCTTCCATTAAAATGTCTGATTGTAAGTTAATTATTCCTTGCCGGCCAGCCGGAGACGTGGTGCGCTCACGGGCAGCCGACGAGCCTGCTGCAGTGACATTGCTCCCTCGCGGACACGCGGCCCGGCTGGCGTGGTCAGCAAGGACGCGCTGTCATTCTGGGCTCTTCTCCCATTTCTGTGACTCTCAGCTATTCCTCCTCCCAGTCGTCTTAAGGGACTGCCTCCTGGGGAAGGCAGCAAACTGGGACTCGCGGGCCCGGGCATTACAGCTGCCATGTCTGCCTGGGGTTCGGGGTGCAAAGTCTGCAGCAGCCTGGGGCTTTCCTCCTTTCTCCGGGGCCACCCTCCTCCAAGCTGAGACTGAGCAGGCAGCTCTGCTCTTGGCTGCTCCGAATATCACACTTTTCTGGCAATCATTCCTGTCCTAAAATAAACTCAGGCCTGGACTTGCCTACCTAGAGTCCCTCTTGTATGCCTGTCGCAGGGCAATCTAGCTCCAGGGTGTCATCCAGCCACAAAAGATGCCTCGCTTAGACCCACTGCACCGTCACCAGTCTGTTCCTGATGGTTTGGTTGCCACGACAACAAATGGGGATGTCAAGAGGGAAGAATGATGCCCTCGGTGAATTGGGAAGGGGAACCAAGGGGTCAGCTCCGCAGCAGGGAGAGAGAAAATTATTCTTCGACTTCACTTACGGGCATCGTTGCTGCCGTGTGAGCCTCCCACAGCCTGGCAACCGGGCAAATAAATATGGTGCCACTGACACCAGTGGAAGGAAGTGCCCATCTCCGGCTTTGCAGATATGCTGTTCTGCTTTGCTCTTGGAGGTGCTATATGGACCACCTTTCAATCTGAAAATATGGGCACCACAACGGATGGTGTTTCCAAGGGGACCTAGCTTCTCGTGACACCTTGTGCATGCAACAGGACTCTCAGCGTGCTCCATCATGATCTCTTTCCTACAACTCTGATCACCTGTCCCCTTATTAATTGCTAACGAAGTCACATGTGTGCATTAGGTGCCATCGGCTATGCTAGGCTGGTTCTGATCAGTACTTGGGTGGGAGAAATGAGGAGCAAACAAAAGGGGTAGCGTTCACGAGTCAGCACAAAGACCAGCAATAGTTATAGCCTATAACAGGAACAGAAATAGCAATAGGAAGAAGAAGCTGATTAGCCCTGGAAAACATCTCGTCTGGGAGAGCCTGAACACTGATCCCAACTTCGATTATTTTGACAAAACCTTGCAATTTTTTCTTGGCAGATCCAAACTTTCTTTTTGGGGGCTTGGGGATGATAGGGGCAGGGGGTTGACGGTTTGGGGGCGGCAGTACTGAGGCATCCCCGTTCTGACACCAGAGGACTGCTCCAACCCATTTCTGATCCACTTTGAAAGCAGTGCCAGGGAGGCAGTGCGGCACTGCTGAGCACAGCAGAAAACCCAGCACAATCCCGGTCTCTCTGCGTTCCTTTAATTGTGTCAAGATGACTTTCTTCCCCCGGCTGCAGGACCACGCAGGGGGAGGTTTGAAAGCGAGAGGAGAAGAAGGGACTGCTTAGAGCAATACGAGGGCCCCGTGGCAGGTGTGGGGGTAGCTGGAGATTCAGGGACAAAACCCAAGCAGGACAAAGTGCCCAGAACAAAGGCATGCTCATTGCTCAGCAGCGTGAGACAGCAGAGACAGAGGAGGCTGAGGGCAGAGCGGAGGCCCTGGACTTGGCTGTGGGTCGGAGGAGTCATCTGGGATGGATACAGCTCTTTCCTCAATCATCTTGATGCGTGCTTGCAAATATACCCTGGAAAAGTGCCTAACCCCATAATCTGCAAATCCAAATATCAGGCCTGGCTCCGAGCACACAGGCCTGGTGAAACGCGCCCACGTGACGAAACAGAAAGCAGTTCCCTTCGGAAACGGCACTTCTTCAAAAGGCATCGGGGAGATTTATGTGGCTAATACCCCTACAATACAGACTGCAGGCATAAGCTCAGCATTATCTTAAGAGATTAGCAAAATACCATATTGTGTCATGTATATGTTGCAGTGTAGCACCCCCGGCGATAGCGTACGATCCGTTCACGGCGCTAATATGACATGAAGCTCCACCAGACCTATTGTATTAGTGCTTCCACAATGCGTTTTGCCTGGTGTTACGACTATGAAAGTGAAAATGCATCTGGGTCTCCTTCTCGTGCCTCCCACAGGGCTCCCATTAAAGGGCATTAAGACCCTTTGTACGAACCTCTTATGATTAAATTACCTGTCTTTTTTCATTATTATTATTATTTCATTATTTTTCCATGAGACTCAATCTCACGCTGAAGCCCTCGGTGCCAGAAATATAGCTGAATAAGTCTTTGTGTGGAAAGGACCGGCTCCCCGCTGCACATCCTGAG